AAATGTAATTTCGTCAAATGCTGCTGCAAGCATGCTGTACTGGTGGTGTGCATTTGATCTGTTTAAAATAGTTTGTGTTTGTGATTTTGCTGACCTAATGGCCATTGTTTACACAAATAAACATGAAGTGCGCCATTTGGGACAAGGCCTTTGTGTGCTAAGAAGTATAAGTGGCCGTAGGCCAGCAACTCACAAAAACGGTAGCTCACATATCTCAATATATCAGTCTTTACAAACATTCAGTTTGTTATTTTCATATAAAGCAGGAAAGATCAGTGGGACAATGCAAAGATCTCATTCTCTTTCAACTTGTATAATTTTTTTTTACATGCATATTATATTTGTAATTCTGTTTTGTGATACAAATTGTGCAGAAACTTTTAACATCATTGGTTGCTTTCTTTCAGGGAACAAGCATGGAGAAGGAATGGGGATTACTTGGCTTTCTTGTTCTGTCATTAAGTTTTCTTGTCAGCAATGGCCAAAACATTGGTAGGGACAGGATTTACTAGATGAGATTATTGGTACATTTATTTTCAATTCTGATTGTTGTTTTCTTCTCTCAGTCTGTGCACAGAACACAGTGGCTGACATTGTATTCCTGGTGGATGGTTCAAACAGTATTGGGCCGGCGAACTTCCAACAAATCCGTGAATTCCTCTCCTCGCTCGTAGAGAACTTTGAAGTTGCTCCTGACAGAATCAGGATCGGTTTGGTCCAGTACAGTGACACACCGTATACTGAATTTTCACTCAGCACTTACCAGAACAAAGAGGAAATTCTCAGCTACATCAAAAATCTTCGTTATAAAACCGGCGGGACGTTTACTGGCAAGGGTTTGGAGTTCATGCTGAAACAACACTTTGTTGAAAAGGCCGGAAGTCGAGCACAGCAGAATGTTCCTCAGATTGCCATTGTTATCACAGATGGTGACTCTCAAGATGAGGTCAAGTCACAGGCTCAGGAGCTGAGGCAAAGGGGAATCAAAATATTCGCCATTGGGATCAAAGATGCAAACGAGACGTTACTGAGACAGATCGCGAGTGAGCCGTATGATCAGCACGGCTACAGCGTATCAGAATTTGCAGCTCTGCAGGGAATCTCTCAGAGTGTAATCCGGAAAGTGTGTACCGCTGTAGAGGAAACACAAAAAGAGGTCATCCTGATGTCAAGAGGTAACATATTACATTGTAAAACGATTAATTTTGTGCATGAAATTTAGTATGGCAGCACTTCTGGGTCACGTTTTTGCTGTTAATTTTTTAATGAAAGAACCTACTGAGAGATCAGTAGCCAGTTGCAAAACCCTTAAGCTCTTTATTGACTTATATTCAAGGTATTTTTTAGAAACTTTGAATATTAGTTTGACAAAGTCTTGCTTGGGTGTTTAAAACATTTTGAGGGTTGGTTTGAGGTCCGAAGGTTATGTAGTTGTATCAAATATTTGAAAATTTGTAT